TTCAATAAATGATTACCTTTAAAGTTTATACTTCCAATTTTGAAGTCCACTTAAGATTTCCGCCGTCCGGCCGCCATTTTGTCCGTTTCTAGGGAATGAACGACGCATGCGTGACGTACTTTTCACCAGTGACTCTGCTCCACGAGCAGGGTCTGTGGGTGGTGACCGACCCAGGTTAGCCACGAGAATGACGTCAGAGCTAATCGAACGGCACATGGATGACCCGTGTCGAACCGGGTGAGCTAAACGAACTCACCCACTGTACAGTCGAATTTCAAATTAGCATCGGAACCGAGGCTCTGTAGTGATAACCCTCCCAACAAAATTAATGACACCACTTGGACCCTCGGTTTCAGTGGAAATGTGAAGTTCCTTTTTACGGTGATGACGTGATACGTTCGCTCCAATCGTCAGTGCGTAAAAAGTCGTAGTGCGTACTACGACACAAAAGATTTCCCAAGGGAACATTGCAAGGAAAGGCTCACTTTTAATGATTGCTCAGACAACCTTATACTTTCAAGTTGAGTTTATTGAATAACATTCAATAATTGAATTACAAGACCATCATTCAATAGTTGAATTACAAGACCATAATTTCAAAAAGGATTACCAGAGCTTTCATTTCTAACTCGTTTTTTATACACCAATTTTATTCAAAATTGCTTATGGTTTTATAGCAAGATGCGAGTCGAATTTGGTTTTTGGAGCCAACACTTATACAACTCGATGAAAGAATCCATATTTCCTGATACAATTAAGGCCTTATTTGCTTGCCCTTTTAGAAAGAGGAAAGTTTGATCGCCAAATAATATATTTCATTTTGAAGTCGAATACTGTCTCCAGTAAAGTTACCTTACACTCCGCAAAGAACCTGCCCAAAACAAGTCGCAATAAATACATGTACCTTCAATAATTACATAATATCCAATAAAAAGCAGGTACATTATTACTATGTAGTTTTTATTTATGGGAAAGACAAATAATCTGCAGAGAAGCCTTGACAAAATATTGCGGCCAAACATCTGAATCATTTCCAATTTATAGCTAGGAATCGTGACTTGCCAATTAAGAAAATGAAATGGCACTACTGCTATTGTTACTATTGCTTACTGCATAGATCTCAAAATTAAGGTCAATTTTCATTTCAGATTGTTTATCTGAAACAAAAAATTGAAACATTGATTACACACTGAGAAATTCACTAAACACCCCTCCCCCAAATAAAAAAAAATAGCAATAACTATTTTACAATAAAAACAAGTAATAACAAAAAAATAAATAACAAATGTAAGGCTTTGCCCAAAATACAACTCAATTTGATATTTGTTCGAAAACATGAGACGATTAAAAGACGGAACTTCTAATGTGCTTTTCATAATTAATACCCGTCCAATGCAGTGTCTTGCACTAGGTGCACTACGAAAAAGATGATTTAATATTGACCTAACGGTCTGGGGGGAAATGCATGCAAATGCTCGGCCATAGAGGGGCATTTTGTTGGAGAAACGCACATTTTTGGGCAAATCTATAATGAGAAAAACATTTTCAATTAGACTTTATTCACGAAGCGGCCATTTTAAATTGAAAGTGAGATAAAGTCTTCATTTTTGGAACTTGCAAGTAAAAATGAAAGCGATGTAATAAAGTTCATTAACAAATTAATTCCAATCTGCTCTGATGAATAATTCAAAATACGTGATTAACCATACCCTAATGTTGTAAGCCACAATGCACTCCAATCAGAAAATTAGTCTGGCACCATCCCATTCAACAGTTTACAATTTATAAAACAGATTCAGGGAACACGATCAAAAATGGCTTCCCGTGAATAAGGTCTATTCTGAGCTTTTGTCACAATTAAACCAGAGTTGTAATGACTCGAGTCAATGACTCGACTCGAGTCCGACTTGAGTCACAATTTTTGGTGACTCGACTCGAGTCCCTAAAGGTAAATGACTCGACTCGACTCGAGTCACTGCGAGCAAATGACTCAACTCGCTTTGAGTCCCTCATAAGAAGACTCGACTCGACTCGAGCGAATGCTAATAAGCCTCGAGTTCCAAAAATAAAAGCACAACTTTGCAAAAAGTATTTGCAATGACTTACGGTGCAAAATTTTGCTCACTTCGCTCTGCGAATAACAGTCATGTACAGATATACAACGTGTCACAGACTCCCACCTCATGGTTCTAGAACGCACAAAATACTATCCAAGAACCAGATTGTTAAACACATTTTCTAATTTGCTGTTTCATAATTGGCTTTGGGCGATTTCTTATAAAATTCTTGGATTCGAACGCTGGCTAAACTTATGGCCTCCTTTTATAAATTTTGGTATATAGTGTTCAAATATTCGTGACTCGAATTGACTCGAGCTAAGTACTTGACTCGACTCGACTCGACTTTTTGACCTAATGACTCGACTCACTTCTTTAAAATGACTCGACTCGACTCGAGTCACTTCTTTAAAATGACTCGACTCGACTCGAGTCACTTCTTTAAATGACTCGACTCGACTCGAGTCACAAAAATCAGTGACTCGTTACAACTCTGAATTAAGCACATTAAGATGATAATCACCGAAAAAAAGTCTCACTTTACTCACTTAAAAAAACAGTTTCTATAAAAATTTACAAATTTGTTTGTAGACAACTGAATTTGATTTTACAAAACCCTGCAACCACAAAACATTCTAATAATACATGTACTTCATATGATCATGAATTAATAAATAAATTAACTATCATTTACATATATTTACACGATTCATGAAAAGTCTTTTAAAAAAAAGATGATTTCGATTTCATTTCATCAGTTGAATTAAGGCACTAATTATACGTAATTTGGTAAACGAGAACAATTTGTTCTGATTGCTGAGAAAATATAATAGTATAACAATTATTGATCGCGAAAGAAATTTTATCATTATCATCGTAATAATTATTGCTATGCGTACAAAACATTCACCACATACATGTATTCACTCACATATACGCTGATTGTTCATTGTTATTTCAAATAGAAAAATTTGAAGGAAAAAATGTTGATCAAATTTTTTGGCAGTTTAGCTGAGAAATAGATACACTTACAAAATAAACAGCTGCAAAAATGCTTTAGAAATTAAGGCATTAAGATAAACATCATGAGATGTTCTACACAGATAACACACCGTGAATGGAACACTCAGCAGTGTATTTAGGTACAAAACCTAGTTATACATTGATAGAGATACACAGTTTTTGGTATCCAGTGTTTTCTCAGTTTTTTTTCGATGTTTACAGCAAACTGGAGAAAAACTGCTGCATTATCGTCAACTTCAAGATGATAAATAACTAAAACAGTTGAGATAAACTGTGGCACATATGGTGTGGTTTGGTTAAAGTTCAGGTGGGATGGCACGGATATGGGGCGGATAATGTGGGAGGTCTGACCTTTGACCCCTTAATGTGAGAAGATACAGATTAAACACATTAGTGGCTTGGCTATATGTAGGCCGAGCAGACTTTGGCTCGGCTGACTGTAGCATATTAGGAGCAAATAAATATCCATAAATTAGCATGTGATATCGGAGCAAATGCCACCTGCAGTTTTGTGACGAAATAACTCAACGAATCTCATGAATCTATGATCACAACTGATCTTTTATTTAGCAGTTCAGATTTTGCAGATAAATTAAATTTATTGGAAAGAAAGTACCCGTTTTAGATTTTTCTGAAGATCGTAACAACAAAAATGATTACGATTCCGCAGTATATTATTGTACAAGTGAAAAACTTCTAAATGTTAGTTGCTCACTCTATAGACTCCGTGCACAAGTGCTCCCTCAACGGTTGCAAAAAGGAGAGTTGGGGGAGACCACTGGCAGGAGCATTCAAACGCATTGCAGATGACGCCCTGCGCGAAGACCCCACAGGGTTGAACATATTAAGAAAAGAATCAGTTTTGCGTACTTTGCCCCATATGCGCGTGAAAACAGTATACGTTCACACGGTGTGTGCCCATGGGTGTCAATCGGTGGGGGATGGTGGGGGAGGGGGGGACCCAACCCCCACCTTTTAAAGTGGGGGTGGGATATCATATCGTTTGTCTCCCCCCCCCCACTTTTTCGTCCCCGAATAAAAATTGTAGCCTACGTAATGATTCTTTAGCTCAGAATAGCTGATTCAATGACTCCAAACTCAAAAATAATGTTAAAAAAGATGATCTTTTGCTCACAAAAATTGGTTAAAGTGGTCAGAAAATTGCCTCAGATCGCACCACAGAGCGTCTAGAATCCAAAAATTGTCGACTCCACGCCATAAGGGCTTCGCGCTTCATTTTTGAATTAGTGCTGATCAAGGTATGTCCCCCCCCCCTTTTTCGGTCAAACAGCGCCCTCTCCTGTTCGCGCACGGAGTCCACAGGACCAAATGTATGTTTACACTGGTTTACTTTGAAATAAGACTCACTCAAAATTTGTAACTCTGATTTGGAAATGACTGAAATATCAGATTAATACTCCCACTTGCAGACGACTAATAAATAGTATTACCTGACCAAAATATCAATTATGAAAACAAATACAAATGTTAAAATTTGGCAGTAGAAAAGAGCACTAAGGAAAACAGTTCTCATTATTAAGATCTTTGTAATGAAGTTTCTTGACACTTATTTGGAATAAATGAAAGACTTCATTTATTACTTGGTTTCTAGTAGCAGAAGTCTGTTGTGATTTACTTGAAAAATGTCTTTTGAAATAAATTTGGTCTTAAAAGGTAATATACAACATTTGCTTTTGCTGTAATTTTCAGAAATGGGTGGATTTGGGGGGTTAGTATTTTATAGCAAATATTACTGCACTGACCTGTTAAACGTTAGATGCTGGAAAAACGGAGGAAAACAATGCTGGTTCTGTAGTCTGGTTCCCTGGCTACTTCAGACGAAATGGGGATTATTGTCAAGTAAGGGAACCAGACTAGCTGGCTTGCACCCCCTCATGGATGTGAAACAAAATGTGGACTAACTAAATTTGATAAACTGGAGGCCGATATTTGATGAAAAAAAATCATTTCCAACAATGGTCGGCCAACCATCGTTGGAATTTATAGAAACACTCCACTTTTCTTGAAGGTGTCAGCACACCAGGTGACATGATTTCACAGGATGCTTGAGACTAGTATTCGCTTACAGTCCAGTAAGGTATTTTGTAATAATTTGGTAGTTTTGTTGTTTGATGTTTGCAAATGTTGTATATTACCTTTAATAAAGTTCAATTAGAATCTAAGGCTGAGGCATTGAGGATTTTTTTTTTTTCAAGGAGGATTTTGATGCCATTGCTTTCAATGCTATTTTCAAAGGCATCTTTCACAAGGTACTTTGCAGAAAAAAAAAAAAAAATCCCGATGAGGTTTTCTCTTCAGAACTGAAAAACCACAAACTTCCTACAGTTCTACCTTTATCTCGGTCAAGAAGTACTTATCTTTAGAATGTTATTTACAACTGCGCTCTATGATAAGAAAAAAAATTCAAATTTACAAACAAAATTTCAGTATTTACTGCTGGCAAATCTCAAACGATGGCAGACCAACTTCATAGAAATGTGACTGGTTAACCAGCCAATGTGCTTTTTGACAGTGTTGTGTTGCATTTTGGTAACGGACATCGCCAGACCAAATTGAATGAGGTGTGCGACAAGAAAAATTGCCGACGGACCACTCCGTGCAGGAAGGTAGCCGGGAATTTTCACCCAATCACACACCAAACTGAAAGCCACCATCTGGGGCGCTGTTGAAAAGCGCACAAGACTGGACACTATCGGACAATAGGTGGCGCTATTCATTGTGGCATTTATGCCTACAGTCACACAAATGCAACCTTTAAGACTGACATGGAAATAGAGCTTGAAACGGCATTGATTTGGTAGGTTTGACATCCAATCACAAATTGCAATGTTGATCTTGTCCTGCAGGAATTGTCCAATCAGTGTTACTAAAAAATTAGCCTGTTCTGGCACACATGGTTTATGGCTGACTGGCTGCAAATTTGAGCTGGTAACCAAGCAGTTTCAAAACTTGTTTCTATGAAGTTGGTCTCTGGTGTTGAGGCGCGCTATTGGCCAATCACATTTTGCGATAGCCGATCCTCTGGTTCCTTGTGACTCCAAAGCCGGACACCGACAGCATGTTCTTGCGCTGGTAGACGGGATACGTCGGCTGCTGGCGCTTGCTGGCTGGCTGCTTGTTGCCGAGCAGTTGCGGCGTGCTCCGGTTGGACACATCATGGTTTGCGACACCTATGTGGTAAGTGTGCATGACATTTTGAAGTGCGCTTTCTTTGAATTGAAAGTGTAGCGTAAATTAGGGCTTGGACGTACATGTATACCCAGGTACCCGAACACCCAACCAAAAGTGGTAGGTACTGGGCTCCATTTTGGGGTTTTGATACCCAAAGCTTTCTTTACACATTCTGAGGACAACTCTTAAAAGGTTAAAACAACCTTTATTGATGAGTTTGTGATGTTTGCGTCGGGGGAATTTTACTTCGAGACTACAATCCTGGCCAAATCTCGCTGGGCCCCCAACCCCCCGGCCCCCTGTCAATGTTGTCTCTCATTGCGCGGTGTGTGCTCCATCAGCTGGAGAGAACAACATTGACCGGGGGAGCGGGGGAGTGGGTGACCGTGAAAGGCTAAGGTTATTTCCAAGTGTCCCAACCATTTTGGCCGGGATTGTAGCTCCAAACAAGCTCTGATGGAGAGCTTGGGTTTATTATGTTTCAATGTGGCTATCTTAGAGGCAGCTTAGCCCTACTGTGTGGGTCAGGAGCAGTGGAAAACACTTTATATTTTGTGTTTATTATCAGTAATTACAATTCCGTGGATACCTGACAGTTAAGGCGGCAGGCGCCCGGTTCAAAAATTACCTGTAAATTCACAACCCTACTGTAATGACTTGCTGAGATTTCAGTAAAAACTATGTCATGTTCACTGCTGTCCTCACTGCTTGCGATCTTGGTGAAATGGCCAAAGATGCCGTCAGTAGAAAATTGCACGCTGTGTAGTGCCATGAAATTGTGTGGAGTTTCTCACCCTTGCAAATATTTGGCTACCAAGCACATTTGCTCAACACATTAAATCTGCTTAGTATCTATTACCTGTTTAGCTGCTCCATGCAATATTTTTTTAGCCTTTGAGGGTGCTATAATGACACAAGTTTTGGGGTACGTTAATCCAATGTTTCTGAGTTTACATTGCTAGAATTCACAAAATAACAATTTTTGTAACAATATTTAAAATTTTAGATTGAAGAAATGCTGTTAACCTTTTAGTCACTGTAGCGCCTGAAACCACCCTGCCTATTATTACGGAGCACTCTATGGTTTTACTGATTCTTCAGTGAAAACACAAGGTAATCCATTTTCAAGTGCTAATGGGTTAAACTATTTCAATAAATGTGATATTGTTGGCAAAGTGTCTCAAACTGTGTTCTACTCATAGAGCTATATTCAATTACTAGAGCGCTAACTTCGTGTACAAAGTAATGCCTGCTGGGCGCATCCATGTTTGTGCACAAACCTATGGAGACCTAGACATTTTGTACGGCTTTTGTACGGCTAGTTACATATCTGCGTTTGTATTCCATACTGGTGCGTCATCGAAGCCGATACGCCCAAAACTGAAACGCACGATCAGCAAATGAGGGTGTCATTTTGCTCTACGCAAACAGCGCAACTTTTTCGCGTATTCGCTGCAGATGCTTTTTGCCGTCACGCTTTTTTTTAACTGTCAATGACGCGCTCAAGTTGTTTGCGTATGTTCTACTTGCGCGTCGCATATAGAGTACACATTCAAAATTCAATCCATCTAATTTCATTATGTTCTACAAACACGCACATGAATTCAAAATGTCTGCGCCCAGGACGGCTTCAAAGCGTCTTCGCATGCAGAATGACGAGTTAGCACTCTAGTAATTTAATATAGCTCTATGGTTCTACTTACCCTTTGTTTTCTTCTGCAAGCTGTGGCCTTTGCCTCTGTCGATGCCCGTCTGGTGCACCACATTGATGTTGGTTGGCGTGCTACGAGAACCCAACATAGTAGCATCTTGCTCTCCTAAATACAATCATGAACACCAATCGCTAGAAATGAAGTCCTTTTGGATCAAATGTTTCTCAAACAAAATAGAAATTACTGTTGCCCGAATTTCTGGATGAATGGCTCTACAGGGTGAGTCAGAATGATCTGGACCCAAATTAAAGATTTAAATATTTAAAATATGTAGCAATTACCAAAAACAAGTGCAAATGAGATATGTTATAGGCTTCTATTTTTGGACGTAGTTGGTGAAAGTGAATCTTCTAAAGAAATATAATGACACTGAGTTGTACACTGTAATTAGAATTTTCTCAACATCAAATCTCGTAATTGACGGATTTGAGTCATTTGGATTTGATGCACGGTCTCCCCATATCACGGCATGTGAGCACCACAGTCCGTAACCATGGAACGTTTGTTTGTGAATCATGGGCGGATTGCAATAACCGGTCTTAAAGCTGGCTATGCGCATTAGACAGTCTAAAAGCTCTGGTTGTCAGTCAGTCTGTAAGTTTGACCATTGCTATAACACAGTTTAAGTAGTAAGACAGTCTTAAAATAGTTAGCCTGGGTTGGGCTGGCTTAAAACGGTCTATAGTTGGGATTTTTGGAATTCACTGGTGTGTTGAATTATTCTTTCCCAAAATATTTTTTTTACAGTTGATGAGTGTTTGATAATTAAAACTTAAAATAGCAGAACATGCTTGGAGGGCAAATTCTCTGGGATAGAAGGGATCTTCTGGAAAAATGTAATGACACTGAGTTGTACTGCAAATACAATTTTCTGAACATAAAATTTCGGAATTGACATTTGACTTTGCATGATATGAAGCACACAAACCTAAAAAAAATAATTGTGCAGTCTCTCCAGTATTCGCCCGTAACCATGGAATGTTTGTTTGTGAATCGTTACTGTAAGCGGGCTTAGTAAAGACCAGCTTATTGCAATGGGCTAAGTTTGGTGTCTTAACCAAGACCGTCTAAGAACAATAGCCGGCTAAAATCGGACTGGTTTAGCCAGCCGACTAAGACCGCGTTATTGCAGTCCGCCCCATGACTTTAAGCAGGATTAGTAAAGACCCCTTTATTGAAATGGGTTAAGTTTTTTTGTCTTCACCAAGACCATCTTAGCCAGCTAAAATCAAACTGATTAAGCCAGCCGGCTAAGACCATGGTATTGCAATCTGCCCCAGCTCGTATTTACACCGATTGTTCTTATCCTAAAGATAAGAATATGTGTGTTTTGTCACATGATACCAACCTGCATGATGCACTATTGGGTATTTGACTTTGCCAGTGTGGTGTGGGTCTGGACCAGCATTTGTCGTCGTCGCCCTGGGGATGATCTTCTTCCCGTGACCCCTGTGTGAATCGACGGACGGGTACGCCCTGTTGTATCCCCCCTTGGAGGGCATGTACATCACATGTCCGCTAGACTCATATCCAAGCCCTCTCCTACGACGCTTGTCCGCCACTTGCTTTTCCGTCAGACGTTTCATTCCACCACCGCCGAGGTTCTTGTGTTTCGAGTGCTTCAAGTTGACGTTGGAATAGGTGTCTGTGAGTTCGCTTCTCCTGTCCATGGTGACGATAGACATGTTATCGTCATTGTTGTTGGGATCGTTGTGAGCGGCGTCGTGCATGCTGTTGTGCTTGGACAACCGGCTCATGGTCAGGTACTCTCCGTCCGTGTCGGGCTCCGAGACTTCGTAGACGGAGCGCAGTGAGATGATGGTCTTCTCGTGGAGGTTTAGCTTCTCGGGCCGGCTGCCCGATTTGTCAAACTGTTTCTGGGAGTTGCGCTTTCGGGCGGCGATGGCCGCGATCTTCTTCGTGCGCTGGATGATCTCCTTGCGGTTGCTCAGCAGGTCCGGGTCCGAGTCCCCGATCTCGAGGTCGTGCAGCGACTTGGTCTTCAGGGCATCGCCGGGGGACGTAGTGTGCCTCCCGTGGTCGTTTAGCGTCTCTAAACTCTCGTGTTTTGTAACGGGAGGCGTCGCGACGGCGGTCGCCGGCGAGCTGGTGTGGACTTTGATCTTGGGCAAGGAGCTGAACTCTGATTTCTGGCGAAGCTGGTGGGCCCGGGGGCTGGGGTTGAAGACGCGAGGCTGGGCGGGGCTGGATTGGGTGAAGGTAGAGAGTTTAACATTTGCACGTAGGAAATACCATGCCAACAATGAAATGACGAGGATTTCTCTACATCAAGTGAGTGATACTCTTGTCAAGTGAGCTATAACCCATTATCACATGTAGTACATTAGCACCTGCAGTACATTACAGAGGTTCAGGGGTTCGAATCCAGCTGCTAGTCTTATGTTGTGTCCTTGGGCAAGCCACTTCACCCCCACTAGCCTCTCTTAACCCAGGAGTACAAATGGGTACCGGCATTAGCTGGGGAGTAACCTGCGACGGATTGGCATCCCATCCAGGGGGAATAGAAATGTTCTCAGTTGTTTCATGCTACTGAAACTGGGGATAGCTCGTGACAGACTTTACTTTACTTACCTGTAGTACATTTTATCACATCGTTTCCAATAATAACACACTCGTAATCCAAAGACAAAACGTTCAAAACCTAAACTACTGAAGTTTCAGCTCAGTGGATATTACACTTTTTGGAGAAAACAGAGTAAAACCATGCACAATCTTTTGCTCACGAAACAAGATTTCGCCCATGACACTCTTTATTTCCACAAATCAGTCAATTGACTGATCCTTGGAAATCACCTACATATTCTTGATTTCTTCTAAATGACAGCAAGCCAGAAGGAATAATTTCACGGGGTGTGTAGTACCAGTACGATCTTTAATCCAAAAACAAATTTTGATAATAATTTTGTAGGTTGCTTTTGGGATAAATGCAAATGATCCTATATGCCTTTAAATGACCTATTACTCCACAGCAGTTCTAGTGACCTTGGACTCATTTTGTTAGGTTGGGTCGTTGTTTCAAGTACCGTACCTTTCTTCTGGTATTTGAGCAGGTCTCCTGGGCCTTGTCTTGATGTCCACGGACTCCTTCTCTGGTGAGGTGTCGTCAGACCCCTCCTGAAGGGCTTTCAGGGCTCTTAAATTCAGCATGGAGGTAGCCTAAGATCAAGATTATAGAAATATCAGCACTGCAGGCTTTCAAGCAGACCCAGGTGAAAAAGTAGAACAGTAGGATCCAAATTGTAACAAAAATAGGATTAAAGTAGGATTTTGGACAAAATCAGGATAAAAGTAGGACATTTGCGGGCTTTCAGGAGTACTTTTCGTTGACACTCATGTCTACAGCATCATAAGCCTCATTTGGCATGTTCTGTACTCACAACACTTGTGCTCCATCCTCAAGCTCTTGGAAGTACAGTTGCAGTACTCATGCACCCAAGCCCTTCATTGTGTGATTAACATATGACAGTGTGTAGCACTGTTACAAACAATATTCCTTGAGATCAGACGCTGACCCAGGGGTGGGGGGAGGGGGGGGGGGGGTGTCGGAAACCCCCTCTCCCAGCTCTGTCTCAAATAGTTTTTTTTTTCACAGAAGTTCATTAAAAATAATGTGGAAACTTCAGATTTGGTCTTGAGATTTGTAACCTGATGGATCTTGCTACACTGAGCAGGCTTGTCATTTTGACAAGTGTGGCATGTTGTTGCGTTGGGCAGGGATTCTAACCAAAATATCCTGGAGGGTTAGGGTTACGACCAAAGTTTATGCTCACTTCATTGCATGACATGAAAATGGCCGACTACCAGAAATGTACAGAAAGCATCCATTGAATGCCAGGGTATTGGTTTACAGCCGATCATTGTAATTTTACCACTTTTCCATGTGAATGATAGGTGTACAAGAATCAAATTTTTTTTTGAAATCCTGAAATATAAAATTAGGGAAAAATACCTTGATGTCCCTAATATTTTGAAGGTTGGGGTTTGTGCTGGCGAGGGACATCTCATCAAACACAGCTGACGTATACTGGTCGAACCAATCTTCTAAATGCTGGGGCCGGAAGATGCCGTGCTCTATGGGAGAGATGAAGCAGACAGACTAGTACATACAGTAAGTCTATAATAAACGTATTGATTGGTTGCAGTGCCTGCTGCATAATCAGATTTTGAACCAGCCGGCCGACCCCGGCAAGCTCGGTGGTCAAGTAGTTATAGACGTCTACACTACAGGGTGAGTCAGAATGATCTGGACCCAAATTAAAGAATATATTGAAAATATGTAGCAATTATCAAAACAAGTGCAAATCAGATATGTTATAGGCTGGTATTTTGGACATATTTGGTGAAAGTTTCATGTACATCCATTGTACCATTTTGAAGAAAAGTGCTAGCAAAGAACACACGCTAAAAAACACTCTGACCACGGTTCCGTGGTTCAACAAATTTATTGAAATCACATACTCATGTGAAGCAGTGTAATAACAAATAAAAACCTAGTCACGGTGACTGACTCACTTGAAGTTATTGACACATTTAAAAAAGGCAAAATCAATTCTGTGTGCAGACTGGAAAATTAGCTACTTCAACGAAAATGGCATAACTCCTCAGAAGAGCAGCTAATTCGAGAAATAAAAAATTCCAGTGGAAGACAAGGTAATAACCATTCATATGAAACACTCAGTTTTTTTCTCTCAATATACTCTATTTGCCACCAAAAAAAGGTGAGCTTGGGTCCAGATCATTCTGACTCACCCTGTAGTAAGCAGGAGGTCGTGGGTTCGAGTCTCACCCGAGTTAGCTTGTTTATTTTTTCTTGCAAGACCTCGGAACAACCCCAAGTATAGACTAATTCGGCGACACCCATTTTCTGAGGCGGCACTGCAGTGGCACCAGGTTCGCGCAAGTCGCACTCAGGTAGTACAGAGATGCCAACCATTACTCTTTTGGAGCAATTATTAGGATTTTGAGGCATGTTACTACTCTTGAAATTTCCAGCTGTCCTATACGCCAACATTGTGGTTACTCTGAAAAGTACTGTGGTTACTCTTAAACTTGACTGTTGTCCTATGTATTTACATTAGCATTACTCTTTGCAGGAAGAATCATTACTATTTTGTAGTTGGTAAAGTTGGCATCTCTGGACTAGTTCGCCCGCACTCCGGGCTCCTTCGACCAATAGTGTTACCAAAAACCACACACGTCTCGTCTTTTGAGTGCTGACACAGTTACTAGATGAACAACCACAGACTGTGAGACTTGCAGATCGGACTTACTGTTGATGAGCGATCGCTGTTCTTGGATGATCTTGTCACACAGCAATCGGTGTTTCTCGTAGCGTCGGATCAACGTCTCTTTCTGCTCCGTGGTGTGCTTGTGAATCAAGGCCTGGGATTTCAGCTCCGTGTCTGGGGGACAAACTCTAGTCAAGGATCAATTTGGACTTGGTTTTTTGAAGTGAAATTGGTTAACAAATTTGTTAGAAATTGATTATTAAGCCGGTTTTAAACATACCTGTTTAAACCGGCCAAGCACATATTTATTCCCTTACTAGAGCTGACTAATTACTACCCACAGCCCATGCTCTTTCACAAATTCAATTTTGTTTTCTCCAATTTTTTTTTCAATTTGTAGGATTTAGTCTGTAAAATGGAAAACTGTTTTTCTATTCTGGCTTCCGCAACCCTCTCAAAAATGCTATTATTTTGAGTTTACTTTTGTACCTCTAATTCACAACCAAAAAAATATCCATCAGAATTATTGTCATTCCGCAAAGAATATAGAAATGTTATTGTAATAATATTCCATATAAAGTAAACATTTAATGTCTTGTTCGTAAAAACTGAATAACTTTTGTATGTTTAGGGAAAATAGAAACTTAAAGGGAAAATACAACATTTGCAAACATCAAAAAATGAAATGATCAAATTATCACAAAAATACCTTACTGGATTGTTAGGGACCGACAATCTAAAGCATCCTTTAAAATCGTGGCTCCTGGTGTGCTGACATTTTCAAGAAAAACTGTATTTTTCCAACGCTGGTCGGCCGACCAGCGTTGGAGAAAACTGTTCTTAATTTTTCATATTGAGTTATTCTGAATTTTCTTTGCAATTGATTACACACCTCTGAAGGGGCACAAGCCTGCTAGACTGATTCTCTGACCTTACAATTCCCCAAAGTGTATTAATTGCTCTGTTTCATCTTAGTGGGGTCAGGGAACCAGACTACAATAACATGATAGGTTTTCTTGGTTTTTCCAGCATCTACAATCCCAAAACGTGAAACAAGTCTGTTTAACAATATTTTCTATAACATACTAATCGTCCAAATACATTTATTTCTGAAAATTGAAGCAAAAGCAAATGTTGTACATTCCCTTCAAAAAATGTCTTCTTAGGGGTGGAACTACGCAAAAAAAAAAAAAACCCAAGGCAGAGAGAGCAATTTCAATAGCCGAATAAAAGAAGAATGAGTTATTCCAAGACAAAAGGATACTCTCAATCTCCAGCTCATGGACCTTGCACAGCATGCTCAGGATCTCACCCTGCTCCTCGCTGGTAATCTTCTTGGGTAGGACCTGGAAACAAAGACATCGTGATGCAGCAAGATATGAGCCCAAGCCTGTCTTCTGAGTAGTCTTGGCTACACAGTTGAGTTCATACATCGAAATTGAAGCACAATTGTACTGAACCCGAGGTGTCATAAAACAAATGTGACGCGTTCTGGCAAAATGAGACAGAACTGGGCAGAGGTGCAAATGAGGGTTTGCAGGTATTAGGAAAGAGAACAAACTTCTCCTTACAATACTGTTTGTTGCACTTCAGTCGGACATTCCGTTGACAACTTATGGCTGTTTATAGTACGCATTTATCAACATGTCAAAAAGTAAGATACTGAGAAAAAGCCTTTAACGTTCGAGTTTTAACAATGTAAATGTTCGCCATTGTACACCAAATTTGTGCCAAAATGATACTTCTAATAAATTATCATTCTTAATTTCAAGATGCATGAGATATCTCAGGTATGTCACAACTTTAATGAAATCAAAGGTGCGACTGGTTCCTGCTACTATAATACGTGTACGTAGCTGCTGCGATGCCGACACTGAATTTTGAATGTCCCATCACATATGCATATATGTGTGATGCCATGGGCTCCGTGCACAAGTACCCCCTTCAAAGGCCAGGAAAGGAGAGTTGGGGGTGACCTAGACTGGTTCCTGGTCCATCCACTGCGTATTTCGAATGATCCATGGTTATTGGGGCGGGGATTAGTCTACGAGACCACCGCAAGTTAAATTCAAACGTGTTCGCGCCCCGACGACACCAGATGCTCACGCGTGAAGACGCTATGGCTTATCTTTGTGCACATTCATGATAAATAAGTCGCGAGTATTTCGCGTGCCAACCAGTTCCGTGAGCACACATGGTGTCCCGTCCAAGGGGCTCTCAAAAGTGGTGAAAACGCGCCCTCTTTTGTTGGCGCACGGAGCCCATACGGATAAGTGCAAGGGACATGTTTTATTTTCCTGGATGCCGAAACTCTCTAATGTCTCTACCATCCCATCAATTGTTCTGAAGCCCGTGGTCTATATCCCCATCCTTCCTACCCGTCTCCTCTACCTACCTCTTCCAGTGAGTTAGCATCCATTCTGACATCCTCTAGTCTCCCCTCGAGCTCCTTCTGAGAAGCCACCAGCTTGTTCTGCTGTCCAACCAGGACGGCGATCTCCTCCCGGGCATTGATGATATCCTCCGGTTCGGGGGTCTCAGATGTTGTGCTGTATGCGTCAATGTCCTTCTCCTGGTTTTGTTCTGAAAAAAGGAGAAATCATGATAAAGGCTTTTATTTGGCACATTGAACTGAAGGCTAAAACACACTAGATTAAACTATAAGCCAGTGGCTTAACAAGGTGGTTCTCGAACCACGTGTCTTGACCTCAGATGACCTTTGGCCTTGGCATGTGAAATTTGACATCATCATCACATGAATGTTGCCATGTTGCATCTATGACTCAAGTTTGGTTCCAATTCAGGCTTTTCACAATGCAGTCGCCACCAAGAGTTTGCCACGGAGAGTTCATTTTTCCCAGTGCATTGTGGGAGATGGTCGACAAATTCGTAGCGCGGGACATTTGAAATTGTTCATTTTTCCGGTTAGTAGTTTCGTAAGTGTATGAGTTCAAGTATCTGTTTGCCCTTTTCTTTTCTTTTTATCAATATGGTGATTTTTGTAAGGCGGCAGAACGCTATGCCCCAGTTTATAACAAATAAGCTCAAGTTGTCTACTGACACTCATTCAAATGGGCTATGCTTTGTCGACCGTAAACTTGAAAATGGATTCTTCATGGCAAACTGCATTGTGGTGGCGCACTGCATTGGGAATCGCCCGAATTGGACTTCAACTTTTCAAATGAAAGGATGGACATACATAAGGTACATCCCAGCGGATGGACAGTGCTGGGGTAGAAGTTTTGTTGTCCTTTTGTCCCTATTTCTAAAGATTTCGTTGTGGGGTACCCTTCTTTCTCAAGATTTTACTAGTGGGGTACCATTCCCTTTGTTTGAGTACCCCACAAGTGGTCCATGGTAAGCACGGACAGACATACAGACAGACATAGTGATTGCATGGTCTCTTTCCTGAACTTCGTTCAGGCGAGACACGGATTTAAAGTAGCAATATTTGGTATTATACAACGCCTGATAAAAAATTTGATTTGGGGGTCGTTGATCATGTGTCATTGAAATATTTATCCCAACGCACGGCTCATGGGAAGGGCATTAAGGAGTTGCTTTATTTTTCAATCGAACAAAAGATATAAGTTTTGTTCATACCTTTGTATCTATTGTCCACCTCTTTGTTAATCTCTTTACTTCGAGATCTCTCTTGTTCCCACCTGTTAAAAGAAAAATTACAACAAATACTTAACTTTTCAAACATATTGACACATTTATGTCAAGCATCTTCCAACCTTCTGATTAATTAAATTTTTGAATGAATAATCTACAGCTTCATGTTGTCTGTGAATGTCACTTTTACTATCTCTCAATATGTTCCGTCTCTTTACCTGTCTATTTATTCTGTATTCATAAATACCTCAGACAGTTTAGCCATTCCTATTGGTCGAGAGCCCGTCACGTGGCCGGTCTTAAACGGATGATAAAGACATGGCTAGCTGGTCTTAAACACTTTTCCAGTGTCACATAAAATGTGGACTCCCATGAACTCCGGTGCCCTTTACCGTTTTATTGGTTGAATGTTCACAGTCCTCACGTAGGCATGTGCAACACTACCAGGGAGTCAGAATTTTATAGTTCTAAATTCAAAACGCAACGCGCCAGGTGCGTTCTGCGCGACATCGCGCAGAACATGATACGCGCGCGTCAATCTCCATAAAAGGGTTGTTTACATCTTACTCGCCAGCTGAACACTCCATTATTTAGCTAGAGGGATGTTTCAACAAGCATGAAGTGAACTTGTTGAACAAAATTGGGATTTTTGACCGAAATATTGGATTTTTTTTACCGAAAAGGTATTTATGAATGGGAATAAACATGTGCTCGGTGGGTATTAATCACTCTGTTTAAGACCGCTTTAAGTCTGGGTGCTGATAATTACCCTCGCCTCCGGCTCGGGTAATTACCAGCACCCAGACTCTAAGCGGTCTTAAACAGAGTGATAAAAACCTCTCGAGCACACATTTATTCCCTTAATGATTGTCATTTGCCTGTTAAAGGCAGAATAGATCATTTGCAGCTATCTAAAAAGTAACTGATGAAGTTATTGTGCTAAGCTTACTTGGTTTAAAGATAGTAATGTCAATAAACTTCCTGTGAAATCACTCTTTCTTGCATGCTGTCATTTTGAAGAAAACAACATGAGGCCATTTCCAAAGGTGTGTCAAGTGACGCATTTTTGGAAATTTCTGTTAGTAGTTGGTTTGTAATTCGGCGAATCTGTGAATGGGTGCACACAAGCGTTGACACGATGCTCACGCGCGCGCAGTTGCTATTATTTGTTGGTTCAGTGCCTGACATCACGTAGCTGCAATCGGCTGAAAGAGAACATGTTCTCAAAGCTGATTTCTAAACATGACTCGGCAACTTTTGAATTGAAATTGAGATCCTAAAATATATATACAGCATTCACTGAGCTAAAACTTCATCAGGTTAGTTTTCAAGTACCTGTCTTTAGATTTTGAGTACTTTTGTTGCTTCAAACGAAAAAAAATTCACAAAATGACAAATGATCTACTCTACTTTTAATGGGAAAAGCTGCTTCCCATTTCCTTTTCTTCTCGGCTCAATCTGTTACCTTGTCTGTTTTTCACCTACATCATGTCGACTCTTACCATATCTGTCTCTGTCATCCTACCTGTCAACCTGTGTCTACAACTAGCTCTTTTCACCATGTCTGTCTACTGACCCTGTAATTATCACCCTGTCTGTCTACTTCCAATTTCCTGTCCACCTCCATCATGCTCCCTCTTCGTTACCATGTCTGTCTGTGTGTCTACCTGTCTATCACCCTGTCTGTCTACTTACTCTGTGATGAGTGTCATCTGTCTGTTGATGAGGACAGCCACCTCCAATTTCCTATTTCCCACCTCCATCATGCTCCGTCTGATGTCACCGTGTCTGTCTCTGTCACCCAGTGTGTCTACCTGTCTTTCACCCTGTCTGTCTACTTGCTCCGTGATGAGTGCCATCTGTCTGTTGATGAGTACAGCCACCTCCCATTTCCGGTTTACCACCTCCATCATGCTCTGTCTTATGTCACCGTGTCTGTCACTGTCACACTGTGTGTCTACCTGTCTATCACCCTGTCTGTCTACTTACTCTGTGATGAGTGCCATCTGTCTGTTGATGAGTACAGCCACCTCCCATTTACGGTTTACCACCTCCATCATGCTCTGTCTTATGTCACCGTGTCTGTCTCTGTCACCCTGTGTGTCTACCTGTCTATCACCCTGTCTGTCTACTTACTCTGTGATGAGTGCCATCTGTCTGTTGATGAATACAGCCACCTCCCATTTCCTTTGCACCTCCATTATGCTCCGTCTGATGTCACCGTGTCTGTCTCTGTCACCCTGTGTGTCTACCTGTCTATCACCCTGTCTGACTACTTACTCCGTGATGAGTGCCATCTGCCTGTTGATGAGTACAGCCACCTCCCATTTACTGTTTTCCACCTCCATCATGCTCTGTCTGATGTCACCTTGTCCGTCTCTGTCACCCTGTGTGTCTACCTGTCTATCACCCTGTCTGTCTACTTACTCTGTGATGAGCGCCATCTGTCTGTTGATGAATACAGCCACCTCCCATTTACGGTTTTCAACCTCCATCATGCTCTGTCTGATGTCCATCTGGTCTTGGAAGTTGGCCATCAGCTGTTGCCGGAGCCTATCCATCTCGTCACGATTGTGGATGGATTCCTCCGCTGAAATTGAAACAAATTCAGAGTTTTGTATCGCAAAGAATAGACTGCCAGTGATACAATGTGACAAACATTACAAGATCAGTAGAAACAATACGAATGATGACCAAAGGCGTGTACAAAAGATGTAGTTATGTCGATCACAAGATGATTCAGAAAGTCAGTCACAAGCCAAATCACAAGTAAAGTCATAAGTAACAGGGGAATCAGGTTGGTGTAGCGGTACTTTCCTCGCCTTCCACCGCTGTGACCCAGGTTCGAATCCCGCCCGGGCCAACACGTGGATTGGGTTTTCAGTCCCCGCCTGATTCTGTGGGTTTTCCCCAGAATATTCTTCTGGGGTTTTCCTCCCACCTCTAAAACTGTAATTTTTCTCGTCGTCTCCTCTCTACAGGTTTCTTCAGGCTTGCGAGCTACAGTGCCTAGGGCACTTTTGAGGAATCCTTGGTTTCATTACCAGAAATAATTAATAATAATAATAATAATAAAGTAACTGGGAATGTAACTCTGTTATATCTACAGCTAGAATCCAACATAATGATCATAGCAATTTATTTCAAATGAAATGGAATAACAGTTTTTCAATATTTAAAAACTTATTTGAGAGGAATACACCATAGCATGAGCATCTAAACATTACTGTTTGTATTTTCACTGTATGAGGGGCAGCATATGTACAGAGCATGTATGAACATTTCACATTGCGTATTTCTAGAAGTATTTAATCAACAACACAGGCTTGTATTTGAAGTATACATTTGGACTTCTGTATGACTCACATTTGGATTCTTGGTTCTGCGGCGAGGATTCCTTGAGGCGATTCTGGTCGGCAATCTTCTTCTGGAGTCGCACGATCTCTTGTCGTAGCTCTTTGATGATGTTGGTGTACTGCACCATGTGGGATGTGACATTGTTCAGGTTTTGTTTGATCTGAGAAGGACAAAAAAAAATTGGTTATTATTTTTTTTGATTGCCAACTACCAGTTGATGTAGGACTCAGACTCAGACTCAACTGAAGTTAAATCAGCAAAAAAAAAAATTGGACTCGACCATCATGACTTGGATTTGATGCTAATGACTCCTGACATGTGAGTCACATGTTTTTTTACCAAGAAAAAATAAAATCGCACTTTAACCAGTTCGCGTTGGACGACGTGTTAACACGATCTGGCTGTTTTTATACACAAGCACGGCTGACGGGTTAAAACGTCAAGCGTGCCTCGCCTCGCCTCAGGATGATGTCTAAATATGCTAATCCTGCATTTGTTTTATACACACACACAAAGTCCGAGAAGTCTGCGGAGGCGAACCGTGTGTTGTACTTGAACAAGGCCGCTGTGCACAGCCTGGTGTGGTACACTTTACGCTCCGTGGGCACACCCCGGAGTCTTGCAAAATATGAGAAAATATCGCACAAATACTGTTGAAATGACTCTTGCAAATCAGTATTTGCGGCTTTTGGCTGTAAATCAGAAGTTGGCTGTTATAGTTTGCTTTTTTTCGAAAAATCGAAATTATCGGCAAAAATAATCCCGTCGCCAAATGGTTACAAACATAATTCTGATGTTTATTTAAAGAAATTTAAGCACACAAAACTGATCCGGTCTCTGTTACCTTCATTTTGATGTTCTTGGCTCTGTCTGCATACATCAGCGTGTTGCGAGATTCCTCAAACAGCATGCTGGCTGGACTAATGTTGGCGATCATCACGGTCTTACAGTTTCCTCCCAAGGCATCCTAGGAAAAAAAGTTATATTAAAGGTTTCAAAAGTAGATATAACTTTATTGCGCGTTCGATTATCCCAAATGCACAGTTGAAAACTAAACTGGCTTATTCTAGCGCACACGCATTTGAAGAAAATTTTTTTTGAACAGAGACATGTGTGACTGGACTGATGACTAGCACAAATTTTGAGGACCAAAAATGTTGTAACCCAAAATACACGCTATGATTACATGGAAATGGTAAGTTTTTAAGCTATAGTTGTGTGAAAGTACATGTATATATTTTTAACAATCTTTCCCAGTATAATCAACGATTATCAGACCAAAAGGGCGCATCCAAAGCAAGGGAGGAAGAGATGGGCTCGAAACCAAACACAGCCGACTTCAACGTGGACCACCACTTGTGAGGATCAGAAGAGTTTGACAGCTTTCTACGAACGGAGCTAACATGAACTCTCTCAGCATTGCGGTACGTTTTTTTCCGCAAAAGACCTTGCGTGGATGTATTCTTCCCAAGATTCCCTGGTTTTGCGTCTCTAGCAGCTCTACCATTCCGTTGAAAACCAGGCCTTATCATTGAAGCGGTAGGAGACTTTTTTTTTAAAGGAACTCTCTGAGAAATGATGGTCATAATTTGCTCATGAATTTGGATCAGAATTGTTGAGAACTGCACCTAAGCGAAATTCAGACACTTCTACTCTGACTGAATTGCAATTAACCTGAGCCTTCAGATGAACCCATAGAGTGCGTAGAGTTCTGGAGTAACAGCCAGACTGCTTTGGGGCAGTATAGGGAGGGATTAATGGGTCACATGTAAAGGTAAAAGAAGTCTGATTTTTTTAACATAACGGTAGCACTACGACTCGGAACCAAACAACATGCACTCACCTTTAAGATTCTGGTCAGCTTGCTGTCTCTGTAGTTGACGTATTTGCCGCCCTCAACCAGCGCGTTGATGCAGTTGCCTAATGCCAGCAGGGAGCGGTTGATGTGAGCGCCCTCTATCATGCGCTTGCCGCGATTCTTTATGACAAAACGAGACAAAAAGAAAATGAGAAAAAGTGGGGAAGACTTGGAAGCTTAGAACATAGTGTTTGAAAAACCTGTACATGTTTATCTAACATAATGATATTTTGCATAGAATTTTGCATCTAGGAGAACGAGCCAATCATTTTTTGCAAGCTTGGTGTTAGAGTAAAGATAACTGCTCTGGTAAGTTGAAGGTTTTAAGTCCCAACGAAGATAGCAGTGATGTTTGAGCAGGTAAATTTGAGCCCAAGTCTCAAGTCACTCGGGTCAAGACCGAGTCTGAGTCTCGAGTCATTTGATTCAAGTCCGAGGCCCAGTCCGAGTCACATTTGTAAAAAATGGATGTGTATGGACATGAACACACAGTTGTGTTTTACTATACTCTCGAGGACAATGCTTTGTGTTTCCCTTTGTCCCTGTAATTCTCCCATAGACTAAGCACACAAACTCACGATCGAGGACCGTTTTTAACAAAAGATGAACTCTCGAGGACAACAAAGAATCTGTTGTCTCTCATTGGTTTTGTACATGTTTTCCAATCGAGGAGTCCTCGATTCGGTTCCTGTCCTCAATTCAACCGTGATGTTGCACATGTGTGTCCTCGACTTACACCATAAACAGGCACACATACATGTAAGTGATATGTAAGCGATGCGTTGTGGTAGGGAACAGGGAGGGGCGCATTTAATAACAAACATTATTATTTGCAACACCGCCTGGACAGTGGTGGATTCGGGTTCGTGTGCTTAACATTCCTTTAATAGTGTTGCTTTAACATTACTTTTGGAAAACATGAAACACCGGAATTATGTTTTTGAAATTTATTTTTTTGGGAGGAAAAAAAACAAAACAAGTGATAGTCACCAGTCATTAACGTTGAGTCAGAGACAGGATTGTCAATTCCGAGTCCGAGTCGGTTTACCGATGTCATTGCTGCGACTCGAGTCCGAGTCATCGAGATTCTCACCTTTGTTTGTGACGCCCTCTCCGACCCGGCCAGGTCAATCATGAACAGCTTGCCGATGCGCACTTTCTGCGAGGTGCTGCGGACGCGATTGCGCTCTTGAACGGTGACTTGCAGCACGGCGTGGGAGCGGGACGACGTCTTGTTGGCCGCCGTCGGTTCCTGGGTACGCTCTTTGTTGCCTTCCATCAGCAGTGACATCACCTGCACGAAAATAACCCAAAAAATTTTAAAACGGAAAAGTATCTCTATAAACTACAAAAGAGGAAACCAATCTGAAAATCACTTTCTATCCTACAGTGGAACGAACATAACGGTATCCACAGAATTTGTTTGTGACAGCTATCATTCGATATAGCGATTTTAACCTGCTGGTGTTCCGATACTCACTTTTCAACAAATAATGCCCTTCAGAACTTCACCCTGCACGCCCTGGTAGTTACTGAAAGACGACTTTGAACTTTGAACTATTGATTCGTGTACAGTGTAATATCACAGGTTTTGAGCTTGCTAACTACAGCAATGGGTCACTTTCCCCTTCTATTCCTTGGGGAAATAAAAGCCACTTGTCACTCTTCCGTTGTCATTTTTTAACAACAATGTTCGGCACAGATTGGACACAAAACTTGGGAGCCAAGCACGATGTTTGGTTTAGCTGAAAGTTCGGCAAAGTGGCATTCGGAATAGAAACGTTCCACTGTACTTGATTGATAGCAGCTAGTAACTACACACTACCGCGGAGTTACTGTTGGACAAGAAGGCATATACCGGTAATATCCCGATGTGATCCATCTCAGTGCATGTACATTGGATCAGCTTTTGTTTTAATTAAAACAAAAAGTGATTGATTTAGATTGATTGTTTTTGTCGTGCTCAGTTTGTCCGAGTAAAAGCCATCTGCAAATGGTCAATATCGCATTGCCACATTGGGGAAAAAACATGTCTTGTTGATCACCCTTTATTTTTTAAATTAAAATTTAGCAAGATTGATAATTCTCTAAACGACGACATTTTTTAAATCAGTCAGGATATGGGAAACTGCCGCTCATCTGTCCTCAATAGGGCAGCTAAACATCCATTATAGCTCACTCATTGTTGATGTTTCCTTTTTTATATTTTGGCCACTCAGCCTCTAGTCTGCACCATTCTGAATTACAACTTTGAACGTTGGTGAAGGATGTGACCGCATGTGTCGTCTTTTTCCTCGGTCCTACCCTATGTTTTGTGTTCTATAAATTGCTCTGTTTCGTCTAAATTAGGGTCAGGGAACCAGACTACAAGAACATTAGTTTTTCATGCATCTATGATCAAAAAACTTTAAACAGGTCAGTGTAACAATATTTGCTATAAAAATACTGGACCCCAAAATCCATCCATTTTCTGAAAATTACAGCAAAAGCAAATGTTGTATGTTGCATTTAATTCTGGTTTATGAAGTTTACTTTTGCATTATGTGTGTTCAAAATATGATAGATGAGGGAAAATATGAAACTCACTCATGTATTTCCACGTTAAAACTATGTTCCTTTACGAAGAATTACTGTCTGCTATTGCAGAAGATTTCTAACACCTGGTTTTTAACAACATTAACTGTTTGACGATGTGACCCGAGTGCAATGCCCACGCAACATTTTCCTTTTCTCAAGCAGGGATGTAGTCCAGTCCATCAAAAGTCCCTGCAAGTCCATCACAAGTCCTCCAGTCCCAATTCAACTCACCAGCTATTCAAATGAGCTTTGACAAAGGCATTCCTTTGTTATTGTTCATCCACTGTTGTTTGTGACAGGACTCGTGGTTTTTATTTGTGACTGGACTTGCGATGGACTCTCCCAGCACTCGAGAGTATCGAGATCGATGCACGTGAACGCAGCCTCAGAAGTTCATCTGGGCAATTCCACGGTTACTCACATTACATTTTTGATGTACTTTTGAGTTTCCTTGGGCTGTAATTACCTTACTGAAAAGGCTTAATAACTGTTATCCCCATGGTAGATAGAGTAGACCTAGACCTACCTAAGCACCAAAGATGACATCCAGAAAAATGTGTTATGTATGATAAACAAGATGCACAAAATCGGTTACTCACGATACATTTTCGTAACGTAGGTCTAGGTAGGTCTAAGTCTACTCTATCTACCATGGGGATAACAGTTATTAAACCCTTTCAGTAAGGTAATTGCAGCTCAAGGAAACTCAAAAGTACATCAAAAATGTAGCGTGAGTAACCGTGGAATTGCCCATTCATTGCTCCTTGAAGCTAGTCTTAGATCAAGGTTTTCTTCTGAGTTTCACAACAAACACACTGATGATAACAGTGTAGCAGCATTGACCGTGTCCTGTTTTACCTCTTCAGTGGAGACTGTCGAGACCTCCGAGATGCCGGCCACTTGGACGTTGCCCGAGGCATCCTCCCGAAGATCCAGAAAACCGGACGACGGGTTCAGAAGATCCCGTATCATCTCGTTATAAATCTGCCGGGACAAAGGTCAAGATGCATGATAATATTCATCCTTGCTTTAATGATTAAGGGCTGATTCTTACTCGGCAAAAAAGCCAATTTGAATACTGTGACTTCTCAAGAGGTTTTTGCAACTTCCAATTTCCGAAAGCTCTGCATGTTTTTTACTGCAAATCCTCGTAATATCAAATTCGCTCTGAATTCACATTCACGCAAAATTTAAACTGGTTTAAAATGGGGTGGGTGGGGGAACTGTTATCTAAGCATCCTTTAAAAGACAATGTAGATGTGGTACAATGCTGGTAAATTTAAGCTGAAAATCATTGGGCTAACATTTACCTCCCAAATTAAATCTTCAGAGCCCTAAAATGCAAGTACATAGACCAAATGGAGACTTGAAGCTAAAATATGTAAAGAAATAGTTGTATTTCTGTTGTTCTTTTTGTTCTGCTAGTCTTATTGATTATTTTTTTAGGAGGGGCACCATGAACGTGTACTAATGTTTGTACATGTATCTCCCTAAAGATACCTCTCAAAATACCCATTTCTGTTCTAAACGTACTTTATAGGTAAAACACATTCACAGTAAAATCTCAGGAATAGACCTAAGACCTAATGACGTCACGCTTTGTTTACATGTGCGCTTTCCTATGAGAAGACGCATCCCACCTGTCTCTCCTAGGAAAGTGCACATGTAGACAAAGCGTGACGTCATAAGGTCTTAGGTGTATCCCAGATTTCAAAAGGGATTCTTTGAAAATCCAGAAATCAGGAAAAACTCCTACTAAAAAAAATCCTCAAATCTGAAAAAAATCCTGATAAATGTCATCCCTGATTGATGTACAACTCGTTGTCTACATTCCTCTCTTCGGCTTTAAATTAATTACTAAAAAAACCCCACTTCTTGAGAAAAGTGAATATTTCAATTTTTTTGGTGGTGGGGAGGGGGGAGGGGGGGAGGGGGGAGGGAGGGGGGGGGGGAGAACCACCTGGGGGCACTCTGAATTGTGGGGGACGTATGCCCCTCCCACTACGCCACTGAGTGAAAGTCAGCCACTGAGCTAACTAATTCACATATGACAGTCAGTCAGTGAGATACATACATACAAAAAGGACTGTACATGTTGTAGGTTGGCCTACAATTCGAGCGATTCACAATGCAGTGCGCCACCAAGAGTTTGCCACGTAGAGTTCATTCCTAGTGCATTGTGGGAGATGGTCGACAAATTCACAGCGCGGGACATTTGAAATTGTTAGTTTTTCCGGTCAGTAGTTTCGTAAGCGTATGATTCGAGTATCTGTTTGCCCTTTTCTTTTTCTTTTTATCAATATGGTGTTTTTTGTAAGACGTCAATACGCTATGCCCCTATCTATAACAAATTAACTCGTTGTCTACTGACATTCATTCAAATGGGCCATAAACTTGAAAAATAGACTCTCCATGGCAAACTCTTGGTGGCTCACTGAATTGTTTCTAAAGTTTAGCATGCATGTAATGTGTATATACAGAATGGAATGCACACCTCGAGATATGACATGGTGACTTTGTAGACAGAGTCTTCTCTTCTAGCGTCCATTGCATCAAACAGGTCATTGAGGGCACGGGCCATGATACCAGGCTCATAGTCGGTACCCAGCATGGTGTAAGTCTTGCCGGCCCCTGGATAGAAAGAATACCATAAACCAGGAATAATTATTGGTAGATGTGGGAACTCCTTGCTCTTGTTATCATGGCTATTGTGCAGGGTTTTTTCTTTCTTTTTTTCTGTACTTATATGAATGCTGAATTTGGCATACGAAGCGGTGGGGTAGAACTCATACTCGTATTAATCTCAAAGCGCTTTATGATTATTATCCCGTTCATCAGGCCATGAGACCACAGGGCAGCTGATATCAGCACACTTTTGGTCCTCTACCCTCACTGGCACCAATTCATACTCCTGGGTGGAGAAAGACAATTGTAGTTAAGTGTCCTGCCCAAGGGCACAAACACCATGTTCCCGGTTCATGAAAATGTGCTCATGAAAATTATGCGATGCAATCAAGCTAAATGAGTCGTTTGTTGACCCTGGTCATTTTTTTTTTTTTACAAATTTGAAAAGAGCACAATCTCAGCATTACTGTTGTGAAAACCACATGCTGATACCATCTTTAGTTTAAAAATTGTGGAAGTTGGAACACCAAGAGATGTGATAAAGTGGCCCTATTTTGTCCTGGATCTCCAAATGAAAGTTCCTGACAAACGACTCATTTAGCTTGATCGCATCAGTATATGAATAGTGGAGTGTCATGGCCTAGCGGTTAAGAGCACCGGACTCATGCTCTGGTGTTTCAGAGGCAACAATGGCGTGGGTTTGAGCCCGCCGGGTGGACACTTGTGCCCTTAAGCAAGGCACTTAACCATTATTGCTTCGTCCTTCGGATAGGACGTAAAGCCGTAGGTCCCGTGTGTTAAATGCACGTAAAAGAACCCAGTAACACTTATCGCTAAGAGAAGGGGTTTGCCCCGGTGTTTCTGGCCTCCTGTTATTACTCCCATGCGGAGTCCTTAGGAGAAGAACCAACCAAGAACCAAGAATATGACACAACTCTTAAAGATGAAGCAATTTCTCATTCAATTCCTACCTGTTGCACCGTATGCAAAGACTGTAGCATTGTAGCCTTGTATGACGCTCTGTATCAGGCACTTAGTGGTTTGCACATAAACTTCATCCTGAATGAGCGAGAAACGAAAAGACAAAGCCATGTCTTATCAAATTGACAGCACATAACAAATATAAAATGTCACTGTAACTATGTGATCTGTACTTCTCTGTACTTAAATGTACATTGGCTCCAGCCATCCCATGCAAACAGGTATTCTGTGCAAAGTTGTCCTCTCAGTCAAAATCAGTCAAGTTGTCTATGCATACATAAAGCAGGATTTACCAGCTGTTTATGTAACTTGATACAGCTATGCTTTGACTGTACATGTAGGTGATTGATAAGCCAGCTGTGCCAACCACTTGCCTGCTTTTGTCTGTTGACTGAATTTGACTAGTCACAGTGCTTGATTGAAATTATGATCTGACTGTTGGCATGGCAGGGGAAGAGGACTGATTTTGTTTGACTGTCTGTGACTGTTCAGACAGCAGGAGGGCTTGTAGTATACAAGTATCGTAGCTGATCTAATGTAGTACTCTATAGCTCTTTTATCAGAGCCATTGCCCTAAATCCCTCCCAAACAGGTTCACATGTATTGTGTTACAAGCTGATTTACCCGATCATAGATCGGGTAGGGCGTAGTGTTGGGGATGAAAATTTGGGGAGTTAAATGTAAATGGGGATATAGTTAAGGAGACATGCAGTTATAGAAAAGCAATTTCTGTGGTGTGATCTGAGGCAATTTCTGACCACTAAAACCAATTTCAGCAAAAGATCATCTTTTAAAGTTTTGAGTTTTGAGTAATTGAATCAGCTACATGTATTCTGAGCAATAGAATCATTGTTGTAGGCTACAATTTTTATTGGGGGAAGAAAAAGTGGGGGGGGGGGGAACCAAACGATGTCCCCCGCTTTAAAATGGGGGGGGGGTTCCCCCTGTCCCCCGTCGATTTACGCACATGATAATTATGTACCATGGCAACTGTCTGTAAATGTTCCCATTGGTCTGTTAAATTGGCATTTTGTGAGGCAGTCGCATTTGGAAAACGCAGTGAAAAGGTTACCGTAGTACACAGGCGAAGGCTGATTGTACAGTTTTGACAATAAATCATAATGCAATAAAACGTAAAGGTGTCATTTGAAATGAAAATGTTGAGTGTTACCATAAAATTACAAACGGTCTGAATCATAGAGGAAGGTCATAATTAAGTTTCAGTATTGGACTCTTCAACAAACGTAAACTTGAACTTCTTACAATTTGCGAGACCGTCTGCGAGGAAAAAGTCGATTTAACTTTTATTGAAGTTGGTTCAACCATCTATATAAGAGCAAGTTTTACTCGGCCTCCGAGAAATGTTTGCTCCTGAAAGGATCCGAGACCGCGGTCTCCCGCGACACCAAAATGGCTCCACGTCCGTGGAAAAATGTGGGTGTCTTCCGCCGGGTCGGACACTTTTTCGTCTATTTTTTTGTGAATGCATCAATCCTTCGTTGACCCCAAACAGGCCCCCGAAATTATAACACGACACTGAATTATACGTGGCGGGCAGCGAACTCACAACGCTCAGCCTTGGTGGTGGAAGCATGGAGCTGTAAACACATTATGGAAGCAACAGCACTCTATCACGCGACGTCACATGCTTGCGCTTCAAATAGCGAGCACCGTAGACCCAACCTCGTTTCCAGGGTGTGGAGCAGGCTGCAGTACGCGTTGCCATCGACAGTTTTGCATAGCCCGGAAATACTACGCAGTGAAGACTTTCGATTGGTCAGACCGCGCAAGGCATACTAATGTGTAGTCCTTCTGAGTATTCGTTGCACTCGGCGCAGGGGCTGCAAGCAAAGCACATGAAAGAATAGGGACACTTGGTGGCCACGCACCATGGAGAAAAAATATTTTGCCAAGGTCACCCCATGCTACCGTTTGGTGAACGCTTTTGCAGAACAGCTGAGTAGAACACGTAAACGCAATCCCTACGTCGAAGCCGCTGACCTCGCACAGTCTAGACACGCAGAAAAGCCAGCACAGGGGGCGGCCAGGCAGTCAACGTGAAAGCGCACACGACGGCAAATTCCTGCGCAAAACGCAGTCACGAAAAATCGACGAAACGGATCGCCGGTCCGTACGGGAAAATCAGGACGACCCAAAGTGTCCGACCCGGCGGAAGACACCCTCCGCATTTTTCCACGGACGTGGAGCGAATTTGGCACCTGGGGAGCCCGCGGTCTCGGATCCTTTCATGAGCAAACATCGTCTCGGAGGCCTAGTTAAACTCTCTCTTATATATATAGATATTCCCTGAAGAGTATATCCATTCAATGTCCACACGGGTTCGGACAGCACTGGGAGAAACAGGCAGGGAGGTTTAAATGGGGCAATGCAGGGAGTAATGGGTCAAAGCCTCCATTTGTCTCCCATTTTCTTTCAATGTTATTTTCCAAAACATTTTGAACATTTCCCCAAATGATTCAACTCTGTTCCTTGAAAAATCTTCTCCTTTCAGGTATTACTGGTACAAGTACATTATAACAGCCACCCAAAAGACACCCCCCAAAAATACCCACGGTTCCACGGTTCAACAAATTTATTGAAATTGCGTACTGATGTGACTGCGTTGTTTGAAATCCAGTCACATCAGAACTTGATTTCAATAAATTTGCTGAACCATGGAACCATGGTCAGAGTGTTTTTGTAATCCTGTGTTCCTTGCTAGCACTTTTCTTCAAAATGGTACAATGGATATGAAACTTTCACCAAATATGTCCCAAATACCAGCCTATAATACATCATTTGCACTTGTTTTACAATTGCTACATATTTTACTATTTTCCTTAATTTGGGTCCAGATCAGTTAATCTGACTCACCCTGTACATGTATAACGTGTGTCCAGTTCTATACCAGTATAACATTAACTTTCACTTTCAAATATACATGCATTTTATCTCAATAATTAAGTGAATTTGTTAATTACATTATGCATTTTTTATCGACCTCCCATGATCTCCATTAAACATTACATTTCACAGAAACAAAATGTTTGCCAGTGTACATGACGTAAATAATTTATGTCGCCTTCCGTTTCCCAAACAAGTAAATAATTGATAACTTCCTTTGTCGTTGGTCTTGCGGCCAAACGATATTTCCTCGCAACATCTTTCACCTTTTCTAATGGGGCCCATCCGGCTTAAATCAACAACAATGACGGCCTGTTGCCATGACAACTGAAGCGCGTGCTATTCCGCACGGCATGCGTTACGGCGATTTTGCCTTTAATATGTGGGTCAATTGTTATTGAAAGGTCAAGTGAATGGATGACGATATATGAAGTTGGACATGTTTTGTGCTCGAATGCGGAACTATTTCAATGGCGAATACGGATGACCTGCTTCACCATTATTTTCACTAGAATGGCAGTCACGAGTGACTGGACTTCAATAATCAACACATAGGGTGACCTGAAATAGAGCTGTGCCGAATGTCCGGATATCCAAATATTGGATCATCTACTGAATATCTGGATAGCATTTTATCCCGAAAAATGTTCCCCCAAAAAAGAAGGAACGTGTAAGATTTCTCGCAAAGATGACGAAAAACATTCATGGTATAATTTTATTTGTATACATGCAGGTTGAGAGGTTTTATTCTTCAAATGCCACGTTTTTGTGTGAACAGCCACTTTCAAAACATGATTTGAGAGTTTCTGTGAGGAATGTAAGCCCTTATTTCCATCTTTAAAATCTGTCAAATATCAGCTAGTCGGCTACCTCGTACAAATTTATATCGATACATACATGATATTAATAAATTATACCTCCATGGGAATATTCGAATATTCAAACAAATCCAAGCTCTGATAATCGAATAACAATTACTTGAAACATGCACAGCACTATAAAACTCAAATCAGCCGCAGACGCTGCTCAAAAAGTTCAAAAGTTCAAGTTTTGAGCTTAAGTTGAACTCATAAAATGTTTATTAAGAAGGGCAGAGAAAATACAATACATGGGCTCTGACAAAGGGAAAATATCAAACACATCAAACACATTTCAGTTTGGTTTTGAGAATAAAGAATCTTTTGTAAAAAGAAAGGGCAAAATATAACATTCGCAAACATCAAAAAACAAAACTGCCAAATTATTATGAAATACCGGTACCTTACTGGACTTTCAGTCAATAATAGTCTCAAGCATCCTGTGAATTCAAGGCACCTTGTGCATTGTGTAATTTTCAAGATGGTCAGCCGATAATCGTTGGGGGAAAAAAACTGATTTTTTTTCAAATAATGAATGAATGGGTGTGCGCAAGCGCTGACTCAATGCACATGCGTGCGCGGTTGCTATAATTTGTTGGTTCAGTGAATGACATCGCGTAGCTGCAATCGGCTGAATGAGAACGTGTCCCAGATGCTGATTTCGGGCGCAATTCAAAACATGACTCGGCAACTTTTGAATGAAATCGAGATCCCAGAATAGTTTTCTCGGAGTATATACAGCATTCACTGAGCTAAACCTTCATCAGGTTAGTTGTTAAGCACCCTTCTTTAGATTTTGAGCACTTTTGATGTTTCAAATGAAAAAAATTCGCAAACGACAAATGATATACTGTACTCTACCTTTAAACAATATATGTTGTTCGTACAGTGTATGTACATTTGTATAATCCAGGACCACTGAATTGAATTGGACTGATGTCATATTAAGTGCCCTCAATTGCGACTTGATGTTTCTGTCAGAATAAGAAATAGCGATAGTAATCCACATAATAACCACCTGTTCCTAATGAGACAAACGTAAAGTCAATCGTTCATCAAAAGAATCGGTACAGGATATTGAGAGAAATGCACACGTACTTGTAAAGTCCTTGTAATGGTAAGCATCAACAAATTGGATTTAATGCAGAAGTACACCATGAACAAATATTGACTGCACTTCGAGTGGCGTAGTAAAACTAGCCTCCCGAGGTGATCCATGGAGCATTCCGTTTTCTCGTGGCGTAGCCATGTGAAATGGAATGCTTCATGGACCACCAAGGGAGGCTATCGGTAGTTTACTGTACACAACAAGTTAAA